TGCGTCCCCCCACCCCCATTTCAAGACTTCTAGATGCGCCACTGACTCCCTAACGGGGACCTCAGAGGCCCGTCGGGCCAATCCTAGTGGCACCCCTGGTTAAGACAACCTTTGACAACTTCAATAAATACTTTTTATCTGAAACTTAAATAAATTCACCTCTGAACTCGGACCCGAATGATCACATCGAGCATTTACATGGCACTTCACATAAAGAACACTGCAGTGCCTATACAATTTACTTTATTTTATTCAGTTCTCAACCAAAAGAGATAGAAACCTCCACTAGGTTGGAACATTAAACAACACAATATGGTAAAAACAATAAACTGTCTTCATAAAGTTTTAAACGAGGAAACTTCATAAAATATATATATATATATATTTCATCCGAACATTTTAAAATTATTAAATGTAGGGCCTAACTGCTAATCTTTTAAATAAACTCTCTTAGGTCATCTCGGCCAATTGGGGACATAAATTAAGTGTTTAGTGCGAGTACGATTACGAACATTCAATGTAAGTAAAGGTAGACAATTAGAATCGAAGCTTTTGTACAAAACAACATATCCAAAACAAAAAAAATGTAAACTTTTCACAAAATTCGGCAAAATATAGTTTGGCCGTGACTTTCCAAACGTTACGCCCAGGCAAATTTTTATACGGCCAGATTTGAGGAATCTGGCTGTCAAAAAGGCCAAATGGCAACCCTGAATATGACTTCAACCTAAAACAATCTCTTGATTGTTTAAAGTGATGCTGGACTGTTCTATTTTGAAAAAGGGTAGATTTTTTCATAAAATATCAAATGCCAAGAATCTCCATTCAGATAAAAGGTAGATATTTTTTTTTATAAAATATCAAATGACAAGAATCTATTTTTGGTGTGTTATAAAATAAATAATGAATGTTTTTATTTGCACAATAGAAAGAATATTTTCATTCGTTGAAAGCTTGACTGTTCCATTCGACTTTGCTCCGCCTTGTCGAATGAAACAGTCAGTCTTTCAACTCATGATAATATTCTTCCCATTGTGCCCATTCATTATTTGTATACCATTTACATTCCATACTAATGTGCTTTAGGGTTTATTTTAATTGTCTTTCAGATTTATTATATTAAGAGTTATTTATTTTTATTAATATTATTACTGTAATTTTAATTGTTGTTATCATTATTACTCAGTAGCATAACAGACCATAAGAGGTGGATCGGGATATTCATCCATATTTTTCATTTCATCCCAAATTTGCCAAGCAGGACCTTTTTAGGATCAGAAGATATGAAGAAAAAAAAACACCATCACAATACTTCCTTAAGTGTAAAAAACACTGAAGTAATGGGAGGGGCAGGGGTCGATGTTACCCTGTATGCCATTAGGCTCTATCTGGACCCAGCTCCCAGAATAGAGGGCTCAAAGAAGCCTTAGCTTCAATAAATACTTTTTATCTGAAACTTTATAAATTCACCTCTGAACTCGGACCCGAATGATCACATCAAGAAAGACTGACTGGCTTATATGGCTGATAGCCTTTTTGTTGCACCATTATACTATTATTTCTATTATCATCACCATAATTAAAAAATATTAAATATAACATATATACATTTATTATTGTTATATTGTTTTGGTTTAGCACAATGATATTGTAAATGTTCCAAGGATTCCATCTGGTATATTGTGAATTTATTGTAAGTTGTTGATTTGGGTAAACCAAGTTATTAAATATAACCAGTAAATATTACTGTTTATTTATTATTCATGTTTTAAAACATTATTATTTTGTCATAAATGTTCCAAGAATTCATCTGTTTTTTAAATGTATTTTAAGTAGTGTAATTAATCTGGATAAACCAATTGATGTTTACTTACACAAGCTTTCGTCGTGTTCACAACATGACTTTACTCCATGTGCTGAAGTCATGATGTGAACATGACGACAGCTTACAATATCATTTTATCATTAACATCATTATTGTTGTAAGATATCCTTGTTACAAAGTACATATTATTTAAAGATAATTTTTTCCATATTCTATTATTATTTATATATTTTTCTTCATATTAATTATTATTATTATTATTTACATTAGTAATTCTACATTAATTTGGTTTAAATGTATTATGAGGTGATAGTTTTGTTCACTCAGATTTGATTACTTAATTCTGTTTTTGTCATGCATATGCTGCCCTCTAGAGTTGCTGATTTATACAAAACAATGAAACTTCATAAAATGAAGTTTGTAATGCTAAATATGACAGGAGCCTGATATGCTAAGATTAGTATAGGTTGAACTGTACTAAGATTAAGATGCTATACTTGATACTTTTCTATGCCAGGATCCTGATTAGAACTTATACGCCTATAATTGATGGTCATAATTATACTTTTCAGTTGGTGTTTGTACTTACTGTTTGGATATCAAAAAAATTAAAGGACCTTAATATTAAACTGCTACTAGTATGTTCTGTGGTTTTAAAGATGTATTTTCCCATGCTGAATACCAAAAAAATCATATAAATATTTTTTGAAATTAAATTGCCCATTTTGAAGTAACATAAAAGTTATCAACTTGAACATAGAAATTAGCATATTTAAAAAATGTCTACCCATCACTTTACTGCGAAAAATGATAGAAACACTTCCAGTCACTGGAAGTGTTTTTTATTATGTTTATTATAATTTTTTTGGTTTAAAAATCAGGGTAAAAATAATTTTTATGCACAAGTTAATAATTTGTATGCTATTGCAATATGAGCAAGTTTATTTCAAAATTATTTTTTATGATTTTTTGACATTAGCAAGGGACAGTACATCTTTAAGTTTGTAGTCCTGTTATGTATTGGTGATACATAACACCTCAATGCACTAAATGACAGGTAAATAATATATAAAAATATGGTCAATTAAATTAATTTATAATAATAATGCAGTTGTTATCTAAGGATATCACAGCGCTTTACATACACAAAGGGAAATATTTAGGATAGTGTAGTTTGAATATTTAGTGAATAAATAATTTTTCAGGGAAGTTTTGAATTTGTATCCAAACAAAGAAAATAAATAGAATAGAATAAATAAAATAAAACCACATTAAATATATTAAAAATAATCTCTCATGTTGAATCTGATTTTACCCCTCCTTAAAAATTAAGTGGTTTATTTTGAGGATTACTAAAAGAAAATTGCATTGAATAAACTGAAAACAAATCCTGCAATATTTATCATGATAATGTTTTAGATGGAAGCACACTGACACATCAATGTTATTAACTCGTTAACCATCAGAAATTGATCTTTGCTTATCATTATGTCTTCTCATTTCAAAATCTAGAATCTTTTTTTAATATCACTTGATGCATTGCAGGCAATAGATTAACCGAGATAATGACAACTATTGTTCTATTACTGTACAGTACTCGCAGTACACTGGTCATTTCAGGACAAAGTATTTATAAATATTACAGGTTAAGGACCCGCTTTTGGGATGAGGGGTTTCATGGTCTTTAGCAGCTTTGGTCTTTCAGTAGAAAAAATATTGATAAAAAGATAGGTGTTCAATTGGGGCTTCGGAAAGGTAGTCTTTCATTGGAGGGATCTTTAATTGGAGGGAGACCTAGTGTATTTATTTTTAAAAAGTTAGGACCGCATCTGTTGTATAATTTCAGCAAGATTGTAGATTTGATATCAAATATTAGCATTCCATTGGTTATTATGGACACAAAGAATGTTGCTTAATACTAGCAGTTAAAGTGATGTTATGTGTGTATGCATTAACATGTGCTAGCAGACAACTCCTATTTTCAAAAATTAAAGGAATTTATTATTAATTTAACATTTTGAAAATTCATAGAAATTAAAGATCTTCACATCCAGCGTATCAAATTCTATTTGACAAAAAACATGTGACATGCCTAAATATGGTCATGATGACATCACATGATGACATCTGACCATATATAGGCATAAAACAGTTTTTTGATTCGTTTTTGATTTGATAGTAAAGAGGCCTTGTAAGAACAAATATGTCAATCATCCTTTAAGGGCAATGTTCTCGACGGGAGCGTAAGTCGACGGGGCCAGGGAATCAACAATCTCCAATGATTTTTGGATGTGAAAAGCTGTAATCCATCAAACTTAATCTCACAATTTATAAAAATTACA